AAGTAAAGCTATTTAATTTGATGAGTCGAACTGCTTTGCCTTAACTCGTTAACCTTGTGAGCATACTTGTCGATAGGAGTTCATGCATAGACTTGTTTAATGATCATAAGAGGACTTGTTTATTAGGATTGCTAGCTTGAGTTTGAACTTGATTTTAAGAGCAGATCTCAAGCTTGACCAGAAACCAAGACAAGCTCAAACACTTATTTCTAGGATAGATTCGAGCTAGTACATTTGTTTGATTTTAATAGACCGAGGAAACAACTAGAAGCTCGTCTCGACTCAGTTCCATCGCAGCCCTAAAGACCATGGAAGCAACACATAGCACTCTAACGAGGTTAAGATAAACCTCAATGATTAGGAAATTGATGAGTTTACTACTCTTCTCCTTTTGCGAATATTCATTGTCTAACCAAGATGTTGGATTTCGACTGTAGATGTTCTTTATCCCCAAAATCGTATTTTTGTTTCCTTTCTAAAACTATCTCTTCTCTTTCTATGTAGGTAGGCTACTCTACCACCAAGCAATTGGCCCAGGTGGTATAACCTCTCCCCTCCAAAAGAGGTGAGGATCCAAGCCCCATTGTGGGCATTTGTAGTTGTGAGTATTTACCTAAGAGGGGGAAAAATATGGAAAATAGACCAGTCTAGTAGACTAAGGCTCCACCAGAAATTAATGTTCTTGCATGGTCATCGGTTCATAAGAAGTTTATCCCAATGAGGCACTCCAAGCTGAAATGCCCCATAAAGCCTTTAACTTGGGTATGCCTGTGTAACAAAGGGTGTCTTGGAACAGGACTATTTCAATCTGATACCAGCAATCACCCCAAAATCACGGGTATTCGGTAAGCCCAAGACGAAAGATTGACACTCCAAGGAGTTGAATTGAACACAAGACTTCTGGAATATGTCCAAAGGCCTTATGCCAACTTAGCTATCCCGTGAGGTTGGGAGTGTCTTCTCTTTGCAAAACAGGCAGTCAAACCTCATGGATCACCCCATATTATATGTGTAATGGTAGAGACTTTTCACTTTACGCCTTGAAGGGAATCATTTGGTTTTCCCAACAAGGAATTATTCTTCAGTGGAAACTTCTTGTAGCGGTTTCAGCAAGGAAGACAAAGCTATAGAATTTTGGCATGTGACATTTTTGGTTGTGGTGTGATTATTTCGATAAAAAGGAACTCTAGAAATTTTGACAAAAAGAGTTATTCAAAAGATTATCTTTGCATGGATGGCACTTTTTGAGTTTTTTATTTTTTAGTTTCCTTTTATAATTAGTAAAAAGCGAAGAAGTAAAAAGCGGTCTTTAAATATCATAATGAGAGATTGGGTTGCAAGAACCTCTCTCAACCATATAAATGGACCTTGCTCATACTTGGAAGCCTCCATTTAAGGAAGAATCAAAATTAACTTTGATGAGTCAAAGACATTTCTTTAATTCTCCAGCCCATCTGGAATAGGTTATGCCGTTAAAGCATATATTTTGGGTTTTGGGTTTTCTATTTGTTTGATCAAAGGTGACTAACATTGTCATAGGGTCCCCTAGTCCTTTTACTCATGCCAAATTGCTGACGGAATTCTTAAATCTATTTATTTCACTTCAGGTCAATATTACTATTTATAGGTTACTTGATATAGGGAAGTACAGTTTGGCGAAGAAACACGCAACCACTTTTTGATCATTTAATAGCGCCAATATTACCCTCCTTGAGAAGTGATAAGGGCTCTTTGTGTTGTTCAGAGTTGCTTTTTTGTACTCTTGTTTCTTTCTGTCTCATTTTCTTACTAGCTTGTTCTCTAAAAAAGAATCTCTCATTCTTTCTTCCTTTGTATTCCCTTTTTTCCCCCAAAAAACAAATCTAGTTTCTTATCAGAAAGAGAGAGAGAGAGAGAGAGAGGATGGGGCCTTAGACATAAAATAATAAACTCTCAAAAGGCTCCTTATGTTTTGGGAAAAATTGTCAAAACATTTTCAAGATATAATAGGTGACTAGTTTGATGTGCTTATGTTGGGTTTTAAATACGACATCTTTTTTAAGGATACAACATACATAGAGTGAATTACTTCCCTAAAACAAGATATCTAGTGTTGCAATACATTATCGACAAATTTCAAGATTAATTTGGTTACTGGTTTCGACTTGTCCAAGTCAGAAATTCATTTTTCTAGGGTTACAATATGTAATAGGTAACTTTAGAAGGAACAGGAATTTCAGGAAACTTCCACAACAAAAGGAATAGAAGATCTTCAAAATGTTTGGTCCTAACTAATGGCATAAAACCGGGACATAATTGAAAAGACCCACGGTTTATCAAAATATCATCTCTCTCTAATCTCCATCTTGAAAGAAAGCATAAAAAATTAAAGATACTCGAACGAGTATTTAATGAACCACCTCCAAATCCTTCAAAATTTATGGAAAATGTGAGCACCAAGGTTCTTAATATGAAATATTCTTAATCTGAAATAAAATCACTCAAACTTATAGAATGCATCAATGTTCCTTTGTTTGGAATATGGGAATGACTCAAAACTTTATATTTCTTTATTATTTTGTTGAGAAAGTTAACTTGGTATCAATTATTACAATTTTACTTCAACCTTTTAAAAGCAATTGTGTCACAAATTGCTTCGGTTAGGCCTACGTAAGTCCCACCCCTACCCATGCAACACTAATAAGGAAGAATTTTTCCTTTTTTGACCAAATTATCTATAGTCAAGATCTTCCAAGGCCATTGTCAGAGCAAAGAAGGTTAATTTTCAGAGGCACCTTTGCAATCCAAATGCTCTTCCAAGGAAAATCAACACTACCTCCAAATGCCCCTACTCAAGTTTTGGAGCCCAATGGTGCTATGTTCTTATTCAGGTAAATAAAGGAGGAAATTCCATTACTTACACGAGAGCATAGAGCTTGTTAATCTATATTACTAAGTGTAACTAAAAACATTTTTGGCACTTTTCGAGTGGTATAAAGGATAAACTTCAAATTAAGATGCACACAATATAGAACAATTACTTCTCTTTAATCAAATCTTTGTTGCAAACCAAGGGGTCTAAAGTTTTTATGGCAGTTCACAAATATTAGAAGGCTCTAATAAATAGCTTGGAATCACACATCTGTACATCACTTTAGCGGGAGTACAGAAGTATTGATAAATTAAAAGACAGCAATGCAGTCGCCAATGAAAAGTAAAAGACAACAATGCAGTCTTGGGGTGTATACGGAAAGGAGTGACTTAACATGTAAATTAAAAGGACATTGGATATAGAGAGGGAAAAAACAGTAAGAAAGTCAAAATAGAACGATAAGCATGATATAATAGAGGATCTTTGTAGAAAGAGATTGAAGAGGATGGCACTCTGTTGGCTGGGGACTCTAGCCTTGTGAGCAACAGTTGACAAGTAACCCAAAGTGCATCTTAAGAAGGAGTTGAAGGCGAAGAAAATGATTTGACAACAATTGACAAGTAATTCATTCTGTAGTGGCTCTTTCAAATGCACTCTTAGTTCACACTAGGACAGAAAAGTTAAGTAACACAACAGATAACCTAGGTCAAAAGCACAGGAGACAAATATATTGAAAGTGGAAAATATTGTCGTAGATGTATGATCTCATATCCAAGTCCAACTAGGGTATGTTAGAGAGATCTACTAAGTCGTGCAGGAGATAGATCTACTTTGTTATTAAAAATTAAATTTCTTACCAACATTAAAGTATTTTTCAGCTTCAACTGAGAATTAAATTATTGAATGTAACTGTTGTATAGAAAAGAGTACGATATACCATTGAACTATCCTTCTTGCAGCATTGTATCAGAAAAAACTAATTATCTTCTCAAGGAACCTCATTTTTCCAGCAAAATCTACTTAACTGGTCAAACAAACGATCCCTTTCATGGCTTGAGGAAGTATAGTAGTTGTAGAATATGTGCTAGTATTATTGTAAAGACCAGATCCAGACTATGTGTTTCACTTTGGAATTTTTGGAAAGATATCATATTAAAGAAATTAGTAATAGTTGATAATTGAAAATGAAAATTCTACCATATTTTCTATACATTACGAGAAATTAAATACATAATGTCTATTTTGAAAACGCATATTAGATCATTCGATAAATTGTACTAATCCAAGGTGAATTTGTTCTCATCAGTGTACTCCAGTAAAGAAAATCTACAACAAGAACATATAATGACAAAGGCATAAGTAAGAAAACAAGTTTATGCTAGATATGCTTTGCAAGCATGAATAATGAAAAAGGAGCTTACCAGCCTTTGGTCCCAATGTTAATTTTTCCTACCAAAGGAGCTTCAAACAAATATGCTTTGCAATAAGAGATGGATAAAGTATTTGCAGGATTTGAAAGTCAAGGAAGAAAAAATCATTATGAGAAAACGTAAAGCCCTCAGTGATGGTCTTCAATTTGCTGAAAATTGAAGAAATCTGTACCTGAGGATATTCCAACATAATAATTGCTCATATTGAAAAATGTCAATTCTTCTTGGAGAATCTGGAATATTATATGACATTTCTAAGATCCTGTTAGAGCACATTTTGGACACTATGAAGTGTTACGTCCAAGAGTATCAACCGTAACCTATCCTAACATAAATTCTTGGGTGACGTAAGTCATATGTAACTAATGCCTCCTAGCTATGCAGCCTGTAAGTGGAGTAGTAGACAGAGTTGACAATGGTATTCTAACTTTGACCCAGATCAGGCTCAATCCAAACTCGCAAAATTTGATTGAGGTATACACTAAGTAATAACAATTTAGAAAAAATCAAAATGATAGAATTTATATCTTCTGTGTAAATCCAGCACAGCATGCAGCACCATAAACTGAACCTCACAAATATTCCATCAGTTACTAGAAATATTTATCGGAGAAATTCCAGTGATGCGCGATACACAAATACACATGCACACACAGAGACAAAAGACAAATATATAAATATGTCACTACTTATCAAAAATATATAAATATATCACCAACCTGACGAGCAACCTGGGCTAGTCGTCGACTATCTCGAGATGATTCAGTTACTGAGCTAGACTTCTTTGGCCCCAGAGAACCATTTTGTTTCTCTTCAGTCTCTCCCATCAGAGTGCCTTTTTCAAGAGAGGCATTCCCATCAGAGCTGACAGACTCTTTCTTTCGCCTTTGGAAGGTGTACTTGATAATCCTATCAGGAACTGGCTGACTAGAAATCATATTAGTAGTTTCAGATGGTTTTGACTCTGATTGTACCAATGGTACATCAACTTTCTCGATGGCTACTCTACAAACTGGAATCCCTGAACTCTCTAAAGATCCACTTTCCTGTCTCGTCACCACCAGTTTATCTATTAAAACCTTATCCTTGTCGATTCTGTTTTGAGCAGTACAAGCTTTAACAAACTCCACTTCATTTTCAGTAACATCAGCACATCTTGACTGCATGCTTGCTTCAGTTGCTCCTGACAATAATCTTGGGGGCATCTGAGTCATCTGACCCTTGCCAGATTGAGCTTTGTTATTGATTGAACTTGAATTAGTTTTGGAGTAAGATATATCAGATGTTTCATCTCTCTCCAGGACCTGATCAGGAAGATATCTGCAAGATGGGGTTCTATTTGTCTTATATCTAGTAGCTCTCTTCCTTTTTCTAGGGAAAGATTTAACATCCTGAACTCTGTACCAGTTGTTATCTGCATCCACTAACTTCTTCTCTATACTACATATATTGTCAGCTTTATGAGTGAGTGCCGTACAGATCCCTTCACCTTCTTCATCTTCTCTGACACCTGTGACATTCTTTACATCATCTATTTCTCTTGAAATATATGATTCTCCATCCAACATGTTCCTTTCAAATGCACGAATTCTCTGGGTGCAACCATTTCTGTACAGCTCATGCTCTTTTCTTCTCAGTATTATAGATGGTAGATCATGGTGAGCAACATAGGAATTCCCCATACAAGAACCATTTGCACTACAGCACTTGTGGCCCTCATTTCTCTGATTCAAAGTAAAATTTTCCATTTCAGAAACTGCGATAGAGTCGTACTGTAATTCTGGCGGAGAGAATACTGTAAACTGAGAATTATATGGCCTTTTCTCATCTGATGTTCCTTCCCGATGAGTTGTGCCAAGTTCATTCAAATGCTGCAGTTTGTCATTTGTCGTCTCCAGCTCTGCCTGCACTTCTCTCAACTCTTCTCTGAGGTCTCTTACTATATCCTCAGCTTCCTGAAGTTGTGCTTCGAGCTCTTCAATTTTTCTCTGTTGACTCGAAGACTTCATCTCTGCTTCAGTAATCTGTAAGTTGGGCCCAATAGATCAATGCACAATTAAACAGAAGTTCTACAATTAAAAGAGTAGACCAAACCTCAAAGCTGCATGAATTTGAACAATGTGATTGCATTGCTAGAATAATTTTTAACTTAACTAATCTATAAGGTATCTGTTTTTAGAGAGAGAGCGGAAAAATATATATATATATATATAATAAATGTGGTATCATATAACAAAGGTACAGATCATCAGACAAACCAAACATGTTAAAATATGTGAGAGAATAATTGTAATTTAACCAACTACCTACTGTTACTTGACTGATCCAGACAGGAAGCAGCTTCCATACACTAGTTAGTGCCTAAATTCCATGAATTCATTCACCAGTTTTGATTTTTTTTTTGCTAATTACTTTGAAAAATTAATTCAAATTCCATAGGAATCAAATCTCAATGATAAGTAGAATACCATTTTAGCACAAATTTAAGTAAAATCCTCGACCAGAAGCTTCACTTGCAAAACAGCAAACCAACTTAATCATAAATAAATAATTCCAGCAGGTATTTTTTTTTTACCTAAGAGATAATCCTAGATAACATGATCCAATTGTACCACTAGTTCTATCGATGTCTGCCGAGTCCCTTCTTGACTGACTTCGAACCTTGGAGACTCAAAATATGTTATTTGATGTCCAAAGACTTGCAAAATGTACAAACTAACCACCATTTTCCCTTAAGCATGAAGCAAGCAAGAAACTGAATTACTAAACTTCCACTGCCTTCATTTCTCAAATACTCAACTAATGACATGAAGTGAGGAAAAGTGGGAAGAAAGACAGGAATATACTGGAATGTAAGACCATGTATGAAGCTAATGGAAGAACTAAAGAGGAGAGTTCCGGCCAAACAATTCTTCTTCCATTTAGGACCTTGTTGGGCCCTTTAGAAACAACCATTCAAATTGAAATTTTCATTCATTTTACCAATTAATAACTCGATCAGATCCACGGGCCGGGACCACCACCCAATACCTAACATGCAAGTTGTCACCAGATAATATAGTACGTTTCTTCCTCGTGTGAGGGTGCATTCTTTGGTATTTGGAAGAAAGAATCCCTTTGAGATTCACTCTAAAGAGAAGGATGGCGGCTACTAAACTTAGTGCACACAATTTTAAACAAGTTCCACATTTTTTGTGTGTGTGATAGAGACTGAGGGTTAGTAAGTCACATACCTGAATAAGTAGTGACAGTGTAAGATGGAAGTATGTATGTACATAATGTACTTATTATTCCCGTTATTCTTTACCATTGGAAGTGATTTCAAAAGATACAACATTTCTTTTGATCAAAGCAAGAAAGGACACGATTGAATGATGCAGTTGGAGAAAAAATGAGTTGTTGACGTTCCAACAGCAGGAAAAGCTGTATAAGAATTAAAAACCGGCAGTATAGCTTGCCAAAATAAGTGACAGCAACCAAATTTTAAACCTTGATCCTATGGCGTGTCACTAGAGAATTTCTACTTATTCAAAAAGGAACCCTAAGGAAATGAAGATGCACTAATATCTTATGACATTCTTAACATCCCCATCCGAAGCCCACATTTAACTTAACAATAACAAAAAGGGTAAATTCTACACCATACTCAGCATAAAAATTAATTTCTTAATTTCTCTTTTTTTCAAACAAAAATTGGTATCAGAAGCCATCACTGACGCAACATCGGATGCCTAAAAAAAATATTATTTAAAATTTCAATGAATGTCACAAAGAGATGTGCACAAGTGCATTATACCAACAACTTTTACAGAAAATGACAAGTGAACTAGAGACCCTAAAGTGATTTACACAACAAAAACCATCCCATCCAAATTAATTGAAGATCAAACATTTGATCATCAAACAGCATTTCACAGCAGACCTAGAGTACAAAACACCAACCCTATTAAAACCCACATAGATACATGTATACACATTAACATCGTCAAGAAAACAAATTGAAGATCAAGAAAGCAAAGCAAACCCATCTTACAAAAACAAAATCCAATTCACCTTAGACTCCATCATCTGCTTGAGGCGAAGGAGCATCTGAAGCGCCTCCTCTTTCGCCACATGGAGCTCGTGCTGAAACCGGAGAGCTTTTCGCTCCGAAACCATAATCCGAGCCGCCGCCTCCTTCGCCGTGTTCAGGATTATATCGGCATATGCCTTCTTCAAGGCCGTCAATCTCTGCAGACCCACCAAAAAAAAAAAAAACAAAAACAAAAACAAAAAAAAAATCACATTAAAATCCATAACCCTATACTCTAAAAACACCAATGGAGTGTTCAGTGTTTATAAGGAAGATCAAAATCGATCCCATTCAAAAGAAAAAAATCAAGTGGGTGGGAAAAAAAATTTATGACCCACAAAAAATTCACATTTAAAATCGATAACCCAATACTCTTAAAACACAAATGGAGTGAGTGTGGGTGTATGTAAGGAAGATCAAAATCGATCCCATTCAAGAAAGACCGTTAAAGAAAGAAGAAAAAGAAGAAGAATCTAAGTGGGTGGTTGGTGACGGTGGTTGTGGTGGTGTGCGGCCGGTGGAGGTGAAGGTGTGGGTCGGATTCCGGCGAGGGATAGTGGGGAATATGTTTTTGCTTTACCTCGTTGGAGTCCATTTTCTGTCTCCTTAATGCATCAAACTCCTCGTGTTTCTGGTTTCGGACCGAAGTGTTAGAGAGAGGAAGTGAGAGAGAGAGAGAGAGAGGTAGGTTGTTTTTTTTTTTCCCCTTACCTTTGTAGCAGCTGTCTGTTATGAACTGAAAGTTCTGTTTCGTGTAGTTATATTGCTGTACCCTCGTCGATCAACTTTAATTACGGAAATACCACTGGTGCGGTTTGTTTTGGGGCCTTTTCACTTCTCTTATGGGCGCGCGTCTTGAATGCGGGCCCACTGGCGCTGTCCCTGTGATGACGTGTCTTCGTACGATGATAACACGTGGCAAACATGCACGACGTTCGATGCAGGCGAGAACGACAGTTCACGGTGGTGATTGAGGGACTACCAGGACTGGCGGAACAGACAATCATTTCCCCATACGAATGGTTTGAATTTGCAAATCCCAATGGCGGTTAAACTGAACCTAATAATACTTAGCATAATAGATTTTGTAAATCTTAATATTGCAATCACTCTCTCTTGACAAGTTTTAGTTCTTATTAACGACCACTTAGATTGAAAATAAATAAATAAATCTATGATTAGAAATACATCTCAAATCAATATTTTAATAATCTTTTGAATAAATCATAATCATTGTCACGAATTTTTCTAAACATCGCCTCAAATTTAGAAAGCAGTTGAATTAATAGCAATCATTTTTTCACAAAATAATCTAAATAATTAAATGCATTTCATGTCTTGTATTGAAACACCTACCTTGTATTGGACTAACATGGATAGTAACTCTCTAAAAATAATTTACAAAAAAAATAATAAGGTGATGTCCTACAACATTCTCAATAGCTAAGTAGCAAATTGCAATGCAAAGATAAGGTGCAAGAACTTATATAAATAGATAGAGGTTTTTTTATTTTTGCAAATAAAATAATTTTCAAATTTATATTATATAAAAATAAAAATAAATAATTAAAAAAAAAAACGCTCAAATTTCATTCATTCCTTCTTAAACTTGGATTTCACTAGTAAATTCCAACTAATTATTCTTGTAACTTGTATCTAGGTGTAGGTGTAGGCATAGGCATAGGCATAGGCATGGAGGATAGGTTTTGAAATGAAAGTCCATATGCTGGTTACTATTTTGTGAGTGTAGGCCACGAATATACCTCTCCCTAATGCCAACAAGGGACGGTTTGAGGTCAAAGAGGATTTTGAGATAAATAAATATATATATATAGAGAGAGAGAGAGATATAATAAATATATGTGTGTGTATATATATATATAGAGAGAGAGAGAGAGAGAGATAATAAATATATGTGTGTGTATATATATATATACACAGGGAGAGAGAGAGAGAAAGAGAGTAAGAATTCGTAAAGCTTTTAGAGATGAAATGAGATAGCTTTTATTAAAACTTGTTCAAGCACATACCCATAAGCAGAAGATACATAAATGGCCTTTTTATAAGCTAACAATGAGGCTTCTCTCATGTAAGCCACAAGGGGGCCTTATTCCACACGCAAAAGGTGTCATCATGAATGACATAATTTATTGTGGACTTTACACAATTATATATATATAATATTTTTTTTGGGGTCTACAATACTATACTAAGAATATATCTCGTTAAAACCTTACTAAGGAAAATTCAGTGGGACAAAACCCTAGCGAAGGAAAAAAAAAAAAAAAAAAAGTACAGTATACAATTTGCGCTTATTTTGGAATGTAGTAGATAATTATTTTTATACTGTTTTGTCAACTACGGTAAATGGAGGGTAATATGCACCGGTATGGGACGGTGCCATATTAGGTATGGATTAGTTCAGACACTAAGCCTACCTAATCTGGATTGAGATTCAGATTAACAATAAAAGTTAAGTTCGACTTCTGTTAGTGTCAGGTCAGTAAATAACAGAATGAAATAGTTGAATTTCTAGGATGAATTGTTATACAGATATCAAGCCACTATATCAGATGGATTATATTTTGTATTAGAATGACACGGATTTTATATATTTATGTTATGATGCCATGGTATGAGCTTGAGTCTCATAACCATGGTTAGGGTGCGTATATCGCTTAGGATCGATAGCTGGACAGTAGTTGTTGTTCCCTAATAGGTCTAGGTATACATGACCACATTATGTGCGATTTGCATGATATCTCTACTCAGGCTGAAACAGACCTATTGGACTAATGAACGTCATATAGTGTGTACTTATACATATATGGACTACTCTAGATATTGTTGAGTCTATCTAAGATGTATCTGCGTATCGGATTCCTGTTTGGATCGTAGTAGATCAGGACTTGCATGTAGGCCTGACCCACTCTTTTATTTTTCAAGTGCTCGTCAGTTCCAGGGTTAGAGCTTGGTCGTGCAGAACAGATACAGACTTCTATTCCACTGACTACGTAGGATTGCTTACTTATTAGCTTTGGATCTTATTTCAGTTATTTCATTTACAGTTGGGATTTTTATTAGGGGTTCACTAGATGGATTCCCGAGTTGTTAATTGGTTAGAGGTTTTGGAGTTTGGATTTTTATAACATTATTTTGAGGATTTTCAATTAGAGTTCTTTTCAGCTATTTTTAATTACTTCTTATTATTTCATCTTGTATTATGTGTTTATTAAAATATTAATTGTTTAATATTTCCCTCGGGTTTGGGCCTGGGCCTGATCAACCTGTGTCTCGAATCCGAGGGGTATCATAGTTGGTATCAGAACACTCCAGGTTCAAGTGTCTCTAGGGTGTTTCGTATTAAGACTTCCACGTAGCGTTTTCTTTGGATTAGAGCTTAAGGTTAGGATTCATAGTATTCCTTTACGGTTCGTTTAAAAAGTACTAATGTCAAATTTATTTTGAAATTTCAAAATATTTGGCACTAGGAAGAGGATGAGGGCCACGATGAAAGCAAAGAAGGCCCAAGGCTGAGGAAGGTTACTCCGGTGATTCCCCTACGAAAGCTGACCAAGAAGGCAGAATTGGAGACCAGGGAGTTGATTCCAATAGGCATTGCATCGGAGTACAAGTCAAAGAAAGTTTCTTCCGTGCGGGATTGGCCACCATACTGTGGACCTAACACAATTTCGGTGGTGCTCGAAGCTGAGCCAAGCGAAGAGGAAGACCCCAAAGATGATCAGGATGGAGGAGATACCGATGCATCCAAGATGGAGGGCACCGGAGTTCAGGGATGACTGCTCTTTTGAGAGTACTTATAATTACTAGTAGTGGATGAGGTATTAGTAAGAATGTAGTACGAATTTAATCACGTACATTAGGATTATGTTAAAAAAAAATACCTTACGGTTATTTGTTTGACGGTTTTGGTTTGGAAAAGTTCTTAATAAAGTGAACTCACGGTTTTGGTTATTTTATATTGTTTTGTGATGGCTTGTGTGTGAGTTATACACATATGGTTTTTTAAGCTGTATTAGAATGTGTATGTTGGGCTCATAAATGTCTATCACAGTGGAGTGATTGGGTTTGCTCAGGGAAACAGATAATTACTTGTGGTACATTATGTTGAGACAGGAAGATTACTAAGGAGTTTATAAACAAACCTGTATAAGTCGATATGGTAGGTTTGTTTGGAAAGAGGAATTCCCAGGATAGAACAATAATCTAAAATGGGACGATTGCAGAGTATTTCGTTTTACGTTATGTGTTTTGTTCTACGGAGTATTCGAAAATGGAGGATTTTCATGGATTAGTTGGTGAGACACATATGCAATAGACCTTAAGATATTTTTACCCCGTTGGGTAATACTGCCATTTCTCATGAGAGTGATGGGCCTGTGACACTAGATATTGGTAGACTCGGACTTCTAGCTAATCTTTTTGTTCTGGACATGCACACTCATGACGTAATACTTGGGATGGATTGGTTATCACTGCCATGCTCAAGTTCTTTGTTTTGGATGGGTCTATTGTGTTCACCATACCTGGTTAGGATAGGTACGTCATTGCTATGCCATATTCTAGGGGGCGTCACTAGCACCTATTTGTTTTATTTGGATGAGGGAACGGATGAGGGGATTACTGTATCTTTAGATAACATATCAATTGTACAGGATTTCCCGGATGTATTTCAGGAGATTTTAGGGTTGCCGCCTAGTCGCGAGATCGACTTTGTGATAGACTTAGCTCCCAGCACTAAGCTTATTGCTAGGGCACCGTATAAGATGGCACCAGTGGAGATGCACGAGCTGAGGGATCAGATTCAACAATTACTCAGTTAGGGTTTTATTCGCCGAAGTACTTCACCCTGGGGAGCACCGGTTCTGTTTGTGAAGAAGAATGATGGTTCACTTCAGCTGTGTATAGATTACAGGGAGTTAAACAAAGTTACCGTTCGTAACAAGTACCCTTTGCCCAGGATTGATGACTTGTTTGATCAGTTGAAGGGAGCTACCTATTTCTCTAAGATTGATCTGCGGTCTGGATATCATCAACTTCGGGTTAGGGAGCAAGATGTTCCAAAGACAGCGTTTCTCACTAGATATGGATCTTATAAGTTTCGAGTGATGCCGTTCGGGTTGACTAATGCACCAGCGGCTTTCATGGATTTAATGAACAGAGTCTTCAAAGCTTACTTGGATCAATTTGTCATTGTCTTCATAGATGACATTTTGATTTACTCAAGGTCAGAGGACGATCATGCTAGACATCTACGGATAGTTTTGCAGACGCTTCGTAAACACCAATTATATGCCAAGTTCGAGAAGTGTGAATTTTAGCAGTGGAAGGTGAAGTTTTTGGGTCACATGGTGTCAGAAAGGGGAATAGCGGTGGATCCAGCTAAGGTTTCAGCAGTGGTTGAGTGGGGACAGCTACTTCACCTACCGAGATTCGGAGTTTCCTCTGTTTGGCAGAATATTACAGGAGGTTCATCCAGAGATTCTCAAAGATAGCGGGACCACTCACTCATCTGACTAAGAAGGGTGTACGGTTCGTGTGGGATAAGTATTGTCAGAAAGCTTTTGATGAGCTGAAGACTAAGTTGATTTCTGCACCGGTTTTGTCTACCCCACAGAGCGGGATAGAGTATCTGGTCTACACAAAAGCTTCTTTTCAGGGTCTTGGATGTGTTTTGATGCAGGAGGAGCACCGATTTTATATGGATCTCGAAAGCT